ACCCACAGGCACCTGACCATGACCCCGGTGCCGTCCTCGCAAAGCTGCTAATCATCCGAGATTATTGGCATTCCACTTAAGAACAGGGCCGTTGCCGTAACTATCTCGCAACCATCACAGTTGCTTGGCGCTCAGCTTCTTTACCTGTTTTCTTGGGCTTTTGTTTTTGCTGTTTAAAGTTTTTTTTCACAATCAGACCACTCTCTCACCCTCTTCAAGAGCAGAGCCATTGCGCACTACAAAGTTACAATGGTATTCTTTGCTGGCTGTGGAGCGCGCTATTTATATTTTCACTGAATGATGGCAAAGATCCTTCAAATCATCAAAGCATGTCGAACTAAGTGCCCGAAGCAAATGGTGAATTGAATCTGGTCATTTGTGTTCCCCCCGCCACAGTGGTCCAGCGGCTAAGGTACTCGGCTGCTGACCCGCAGATCGCGGGATCGGATTCCGGCTGGCGCGGCTGCATTTTTGATGGAAAATAAAATGCTGTAGGCCCGTGTGCTCAGATTTAGGTACACATAATAAAGAACCCCAGGTGGTCGAAATTTCCGGAGCCCTCTACCACGGCGTCTTTCATAATTTTATGGTGGTTTTAGGGCGTTCAGCCCCACATATAAATTTATTAATCATTCGTGCTCCGACTACATATTCTTTTTGGATGAATAAGAACAGTTTTATGATGAAGACCGCGACAAATATTAGTGATGACAAATTAAGTTCCAGGTAATCTTGATTCATTGATACCAGCTGAAGGGGGAAGTTGGAGTGCTGCCGTGCCTCCGCTCGTTATCGTAGGTGAGCGAAACCACCGAGGCCTGCGCGGTACCAAAGAAAAATACGGCACCCTTAAAAACCACTTTAATAAAAGGAATACAAACTACAAATGACTTACAGTATGAAATATCGACCGGGGAAGCCATACGGCGGAACACCACGGCTGGTCCTGACCGTCACCGGCGGCTATCGAGGGAGCCAGCCACCTAAATAAAATAGCCCGTCGTCAAGTAGTTAAGGTTTGGGAGGGGGCATTGGATGGTGGCGAGAAGACCGGTACGCAATCGGTCAGTGGCCCTGGCACTACCAGTCTTACGTCACGTTTCAAAGGCCAGCGCCCCAGCAGTAGAGTCCTGCCCGTCATATCGTCGCGTCAGTGGTATATGCTCTGCCAGTGCGAAGGCTTGAGAGCAATGCCCTTTGCCTTTGAGAAGTGATTGTTTGCAAACAGAGCCAATATTGCATATCAAAGGCTTAGGCCCCGTACTCTAAGTTGCTACCATCGCTCTGACCCATGCGACAGACGCATATCCTTCTCAATGAAGGATGCGAGGATAGTGCTGGAAAGCTTGGTGGTTTCCAGCAAAATGAGAACTGCGTGAAGGTGAGCCTAAGGCACTGTTATCCTATTGGTGACAAACATGCTTCCTTTGGGTGTTGGGCGTTTTTGTTGAAGTTTCCCGCCAGTCACCAGCCGTCGGCCCTGAACGCACAGGCAACACCACTCTCAAGGGGCAAGAAGGTGTCGAAGGGCGAGGAAACGTGACGTCCGCAGATGCCTTGCATGGTCAGTCTTCACAAGAATACTTCTTTGTACTCATGTAAAGAAAAGTAGTTATATTTTTAGGAAATTGTTTAGCAACTCAGCCATAATATTTCTTCTCTAATTATTTTTAAAATTGCTGAAAATGCTAAAAGTGAAAGCTTTGTCAAAGAATCAATGTGCTTGTAAGAACTTTAGCTGCGTTTACTCGCCCAGTCAAGACAAGGCATACTGAAATAAGATGGTTAAGACTCATGGAGGAAGTGCATGGGTTCTTCATGCTTAGAACTCTCATATTCTCGAAACGTTCTACGAACACTTTAAGTGGAGCTTTTATAGGCTGCATACTGTGGCGGGGTCAGTGATATATCGTAGATTATCAGGTGCACGCGCCGAAGAACATACCGATAACACGTGCCTCCACCCTTCGCCACGGCGCATGCTCCGGCCTCGGGCCAGGGTATTAAAACCAAGACAGCAGCCTCGTGAATAAACATTGTTGTTCCTTCTTGTTCTGGCCATGCATCGTCTTATTCTTCGCCCTTACGATACTACAGTGGCGACGAGGATGGGATCCGGTTAATTGCACTCCGACGCTGAGACCAGAAGAATGGGATCCCGACCCCCTGCCTTCGACGACGCCGTGAGTAGCTGGAGCACGTATCGTGTCCGGTTGGAAGCCTACTTTGAGGGGAACGATATTACCGACGTAGCGAAACGCTGGGCCCTACTGGTTTCATCGTTGAGCGACAGTGTCGTCCGGATATTGCAAGGGCACCAGCCGGGGGTCGCCATCAACTCCTTGACGTACGATGACGTTGTGAAATGCTTGGAAGAACATTTCAACCCTCAGGCAAACGAAATCGCAGCAAGCTATTCTTTCTTTATGCGAAAACAAGATGAGCAAGAAAGCGTCCGGGACTACATTGCTGAACTGAGAAGACTGGCCGTAAATTGTAATTTCGGGGCGACACTGGACCGTATGTTGCGGGACCGAATCGTTTGTGGGATTCGGGATGAGGAAACGCGCTGGTGCCTGCTGGGCCGCAAAAACTTGACTCGTGAAGAAGCCGAAGAATTCGCCTTAGCTTCTGAGAAAGCGAACGAACACGCTCGGGGCATGCGTACTTCATACTCCCGAACCGAAGGTGGCGGCGTCAACGTGATACAGCAACAAGGCAGACAGTGGAGGAAGCATTGCAGCCTTTCATGCGACAGATGCAAAGGGGCGCATGCAACGGCGTCCTGTCGACATCGCAGATCCATATGCCATCAATGTGGTAAAAGAGGGCATCTTGCTAGGGCTTGCAAAAGACCCCACACCCCCAGGTCAGGAACGTTCGCTGTCGACGGAACCGATTGTGAAAGCGAAGAAGAGAGGTTGCATGCTCTCGTTGCACACAGTTCCGCCAATAAGCACTTGGTGCAGCCAATCGAGCGCACCTTAACGTGGGAAGGCCGTAGGCTGCGAATGATTGTCGATACTGGATCACCAGTAAGCGTGATTCCCAAAAGCTTGTACAAGAAGCATCGCAAGTGGTGGCCGGCTCTGCAAAAAACTCCACTACGCCTTTCATGTTTCCTGGGACCGTTGCCGGTCGTTGGCAAGGTAGACATGCAGGTACAGCTTGGACCAGTAACGGTGAGCAGTTCGCTGATAGTAGTGGACTATCGAGGGCCCCTTTTGTGCGGAAGGGACACGATAGAGAAATTTCGCAAAGCAGGCATGTTGCTAGTAGAAGGCACGTCGTCTTCGGTGAATGTTGTTCACGCCGACAGCCAGCTAACCGCACTTCTTGACGAGTTTCCGGACCTCTTTGAGAACCTCGGATGCTGTAAGGGACCACCGGTGAAGCTGTACCTCAAGGAAAGTGCGCAACCTTGATTTCTGAAGGCTCGGACAGTCCCGTATGCCATGAGAGCGCAAGTCTCCGCCGAAATTGACCGACTGGTGGAAGTGGGCGTGCTGTCCCCAGTGAGCGTGGCTGAATGGGCAACACCGGTCGTGCCCGTAGTAAAGAAGAACGGAGACATCCGGCTGTGTGGGGACTTTAAGCTAACAGTTAATCCAGCGACAAGAACAGAGCAGTACCCGCTTCCGAAAAGTGACGACATCTTTGCGGCGCTATCAGGAGGCGAAGTGTTCAGCACACTCGACTTACGAAACGCATACAACCAGCTTCCCCTGGATGATGATGCTAAGAAGATAACTGTGTTGAATACACACAAAGGCCTCTTCGGCTACAACCGCTTGGCTTTTGGCATTGCCTCAGCGCCTGCGCTGTTTCAGCGGCGCATAGAAGCCGTGTTGCAGGGTATACCAGGGGTGAAAGTTTACCTGGACGACATTATTGTAGCAGAAAAAGAGTATGACACAACGATACTGCGGCAAGTGTTCGAACGACTTCGGGCGAATGGCCTAACACTGAACAAGGAGAAGTGCCACTTCCGGGAGAAAGAAGTGGTATTTCTAGGGCACCGAATCGATGCAAAAGGCCTCCACCCACTGCAGGACAATTTGGAAGCAGTGCTAGCGGCACCGCCACAGACTTCGGTAAGCCAGCTTAAATCATTCTTAGGACTGGTCACATACTATTCCAAATTTCTACCGAACTTGTCGTCCACTTTGGCCCCGTTACACCGACTCTTGTCTAAAGGAGCACTGTGGTGTTAGGGGCCCGCACAGAGAACAGCATTCCAAGAAACCAAGCGCGCCATGAGAAGGGCGAACTTTCTTGTGCATTACGACCCCCAAAGACCCTTGCGGCTTGAGTGTGATGCGTCGGCCGAGGGTATAGGCACAGTTTTGTCGCACCGCTTACAAGGAGTGGATCATCCCATAGCGTTCCGCTCGAGAACTCTAACGTCGGCGGAACGTAATTATTCACAATTGGAAAAGGAGGCACTAGCGCTGGTCTTCGGCGTTGTAAAATTTCGAGATTATTTGTTTGGCAACAAGTTCACTCTGGTGACCGATCACAAGCCTCTGACTGGTTTGCTAGGTCCAGATAAACCCATTCCGCAAATGACAGCGGCCCGCATTCAACGTTGGGCGCTGCTCTTATCAGCTTATAAATACGACTTGGAATACAGAAAAGGAGAGATAAATGCAAATGCCGACGCTCTAAGCCGGTTGCCATTACCGGTTCGCGATAATGGCTGGGAAAATGAACTAGCCGAATATGTCCTGCATGCGCAGGCTATGAATGATTTTGTTTTGTCTGCGCAGAGTATTTCAGACCACACCAGCAAAGATGACGTACTTCAGCAAGTGAAGACTTGGATCTTGCAAGGCTGGCCAAGGCGTCTCGGTTCAGAGGAACAGCAGTACCAACCGTATTTTGCACGGAGGCATGAATTGGCCGTGAGTAACGGGATACTCTACTGGGGCTACCGTGTGGTTCTGCCTAAAGCTGCCCGCCAATTTGTTTTGAAAGTGTTGCACGATACGCACCCAGGCATGACGGCAATGAAGAACCTCGCGCGCTCGATTTTCTGGTACCCAGGGCTAGACGGTGAAATTGAAAGGCTTGCAAAACGGTGTCCCCAATGCGTGCAGTGTTTGCCCATGCCCCCCGCGCAGGTCCCGGCAAACTGGCCAAAGAACAACAGACGGTGGTACCGCCTACACGTGGATTTTGCTGGTCCCGTGGAAGGGCATATGATCTTCGTCCTCGTCGACGCCGAGACTAAGTGGATCAAAGCAGTGCCCTTGAAGACGGCGACAGCAGCGACTACGGTAGACACACTTAGGTGCATTTTCGCGCGATTTGGCATACCACGGACTGTCGTGTCGGATAATGGTCCGCAGTTCACCAGTGCAGAGACAGCGCGGTTCTTCCGGGAAAATGGGGTGCGCCACGTAACGACGGCCCCATACTACCCGCAATCCAACGGTTTGGCGGAACGGGCAATACGCACCATCAAGGAGGGCCTGAAGAAAAATCGGGTGGGAACGCTGCAAAGTCGGCTTGCGAAATTTTTGTTGCGTTACAGGACAACACCGACCCGAGAGGAGCAGTCGCCCGCGGAAAGGCTTTTTGGATTCCAACCACGGACCCGCCTGAGCACCTACCTGGCAGAGGAAGACGGGGCGAAGAGGGAGGCTACCGTCAACGGAGTTCCGAACTCTGGAAAGAAAGAGTTTGCACCAGGAAGGGAGGTGTGGAGTCGACAGTACAGTCAGCTAGGTCAAAGGTGGCTACCCGGAACCGTGACAACAGTCGAAGGCAAGCGATTGTTAACCGTTAACACGCCAAGTGGGGTGCAACGTAGACACGTCGATCAAGTACGACCACGCGACTCGTCGACACCGGTTAAGAAAGAACCGTGCGAAACGCCAATGGCCATGGAGCAATTGCCACTCTCATCCAGCGGCATCCAGTCAACTAGCAGCGAAGCCCTTCAGGCCGGTCTGTCCGAGCCTGGTGAGGAAGCGTCTGGCGGTGGCATCGAGCCAGCAAGTCCAAGGTCCACCGCAGAACCACTCCCACTCCGACGCTCCACCCGTGCCCGCAAGCCGCCGGATAGGTTCTAGCTCAGAGGGGAGGAAGTGATATATCGTAGATTATCAGGTGCACGCGCCGAAGAACATACCGATAACACGTGCCTCCACCCCTCGCCACGGCGCATGCGCCGGCCTCGGGCCAGGGTATTAAAACCAAGACAGCAGCCTCGTGAATAAACATTGTTGTTCCTTCTTGTTCTGGCCATGCATCGTCTTATTCTTCGCCCTTACGATACTACAGTCAGAAGTATAGTCTTCGACATACTGCGCCACAGCCAGCGTACCGACGTGTAGTCTTCGAAAGGTATCCTTCGAAAGTGCGCCGTTCACATGCATAAATGTGAGCTTCGTGTTTCAAATGAATAATGCTGTCTCGAATGGAGGCTTCTAGAAGGTCACCTGCGTTGCCACGACAATCTGATATTCTTTAGCGGTTGATTGTAATTTCACGTTGGCCGATTTTAGTGCCGCCTGGTTATGAACGTGTGACCACAGTTCGGACATGTAGAAACAAGAATTTTTGTTGCTTAGCCGGCATACTGTGTGCAAGAAAGAATAAAAATGTAAAAACACCCATAACAAACGCTATAAGAAAAAAAGAAATAATATAGTAGGCCAGGTAATGAAGTACAACGTCTCATTTGGGTCCTTTTCCCCAACAGGGGAGAGAGTCGTAACGTTTTCTGGAAGTGCGCAGAGTTACTGCGCATGTTACTGTAGCAGGATAATAACAAATACTTCTTCATGACGTTTGTAAGTCATGCTCAATCATTCCATTTGATCGTTCAATGGCGACACTTTGCAAGTTTCCTGTCCTGGATAATTTGACAGCGAAGGTATCGAAGGCAAGGCCACATATTTTGTTGCCACAAGTTTCATATCTCTCAGATCTGAAAACTTCAGATCCTTCTTAGCAAGTACCCAACGTTCTGTCTGATATCATCGAACAGATTTGTTTCCTTGACCATGTGCACATTAATGCGTAATCACCAGAGTGTCTTGCAATGTAAGCATTAAAAAACTGAGTGAAAAAAAAAGATACAGAATAATATAACTTACCCAAATATAAAGCGTCAATGTAACATAACTTTATTTTTCTTAAAGACCCCTCGACGGTTATTACATAAGGGCTGGGCTAACATTTCTTTTTTATTGTCACAAGGTTTTATCTCGACAAATGGACACATATTCGTTCAAAAAATGATGACGAGCATTCAGTTGTGACGACATCATGTGCAAGATTATTCCAGTGTTTTACTGTTCGTACAAAGAAGGACATATAAAAAGTGGTTGTCTTAATCCGCGGCCGGGCAACTTGAAGCGAATGACACGTGCGGTGAGATATGCGGGCTGGAGGGGCGATGTGGCTGGTGTGAAGTGACTGTGAGAATATCAGCGACGGAATCACTGAAGAAGCACATTTTGTGTTTTTAGGAATTTTGGATATAATTCCATCCACACCTGCTGAAGAAGATCTCTCAATTTTTCAATGACAGATATTACACCCTCTGGGATAAATGTTATACGCAACATAGAAGGCGGTACACAATTTGGTAACACAGGGAATGGCATAGGGGTTTCGTGGGTAAACACAGATGAAAACGCAGTATTGAATGGCTCAGCGCTCTCGAAATCACCATTATCGTCGCCCACTTCACTTTTGAGTATAATGCTGCGCGTTTCCTTCGGATTAATTATTTTCGAAAATTTCCTGGGGTTACTAGTAACTATCTTGGGTAGCGCTGTGTGCATAAACGAGTGCTTGGCGCCGCTCAAGGTGAGCAAATATGCTTTTTCAGCTGCATATTATTTTCCCAATTGTGAGCACTGTGGTCTAGCTTGGCAGCACGAAATGAGCGTTTTTTTATTGTTTCCCAGTCATTTCAAAGTTTTTAAGGGCCATGGTTTTTGGGAAGACGTGCGAAATGTAGTTGTAGATATGAACTTTCTTGCTAACTCCCCTATTTTGTTTTTGAAAGTGGTCCAGTTGTCTTCGACCGTTCTGCTCGAAAGACGCGTACGAGCTTCAAAGTCTGGTAAAAAGCCTTAAAGTTCGTTGTTGATTGCCTCGCAGTTCCCTTGATCATACAGACTGATAGTCTTCAATTTATTCTGACTGGGCAAGTGACTGAAATTGAGGACTGAGTGTATAACCTTGTGGTCGCTGATTTCGCGCAGGTATGTAAGCGAAGATAGTGTGTTGGAATGTGTTGTTAATATCAAGCCTAATGTGTTCGCTGAACTATTTGTCACGCGGGTGTGCTCCCACACCAGCTGTGTGAGGTTGAAGTTAAGGCAGATATTAAAGAATTCTTCACGTTAAAGAACCCCAGGTGGTCGAAATTTCCGGAGCTTTCCACTACGGCGCCTCTCATAATCATATGGTGGCTTTGGGACGTTAAACCACACATATTAATCATAGCAATCAATTGACGAATTCTTTCGCTTCCACGCTTGTTCCTGACACAGCTGCCTGATCTTGTCAATCGATGTCGGGATAGTTAAAGTAGCCGAAAATTAGGACGCGCGCGTTGGGTTGTTTCAAAATAAGATAGTTCAATATATTCTTAACTTTCTGTAGAAAGTCTCGGCTGCTTTGCGGGGGCCGATAGCACACTCCAAGTAGCAATGTTAGTGGCGTAGAACGAATGAGAAGCCATAGGATTTCTAAGTCAGTCGTAATATCAACGACTGTGGACGAGAGTAGCTTACTAGTGGTGATTAGAACACTTCCCCACGGGCGCCCTTATGATCGTTACGAAAAACGTCCAAGTTCGGGAGATCGGTCAGGATTTCGTCGTCTGTGACGTCACCAGAAAGCCACGTTTCGGTGAGCACGACTATATTGCTGCTAGATGACGAGACAAGACTAAATATTTCCTCGAGTTTTGAAAGGAAGCTGCGCACATCAGTGTAGACAACGGAAGTAGTGATATTTGCTCGGGCGTCATTACGGGGGCGGTGTGGCCGTTGGCGATGCTGCCTGGTTCGCTATAGGATTTCTTTGACTGTTTGCGATACTTCATCGAAGGCATACTTCTTTGAGGCAAGAAACAACGTTTTGTAAGGGCACGAAAAAGCGGTCGACTTGTTTCTAGCGAAGCCTATTAGTGGTTTTCGCGCATTTTGAACCGAACATGAGAAGTCCTGCCTGATTGCGTAAGTTGTACCTTTAAGTTTTTTGGTGTTAGTAAGGATCACTTATTTAGTTTTAAAAGATGTCTTATCATGATAGGATGCTGCAGGCCAGCTTTGTAGCAGCTGAGTCGATGCGCCCTTTCAATTTCCTTCGGCTCAATATTTATGTTAAGTGCTCACTGCAGGGGTTCATAATTAATTCTTTCGATTCCGAGAAAGTTTCAGAGTGGTTAGTATCTGTAAGTACGTGGAATAGCAAGTTGTTTCGTCACGAGCGATTTTCAGCGTCCTCAAACCAGGCCTCTAACGTTTCAATGTGACGGCTGATGGCAGCCGTACTGGTCTCTAATGTCACTAGTTCTGATTGCACAGTTGAAAGCTTTTTGTAGTGCTCCTCCATCTGGGCTATTCTATCACTTAGGCCACGAATAGTTTTTTCCGTAGTATGCAGTTGTACTTTTAAGTTTGCACTTCGGAAAACAGTGCCGACTGACCGATAGATATTTTTTTCTAGCTCAACCAGAATTACAGGGTCAGTAGGCTTTGGATTGGTTTTTATGTCCCCTGACAGTAGAAGTAATAAACAGTGAATGACATCGATACTATAAAGTCTACACGTCTCCATTTTTGGACATATATACAGAATATATTTGGTCCACCGGTGCCTATTGTACGTGTAACGCTTTACATATTGTTCATTCTGTATCTCGAATGTATTATGTTTATTGTTAAAGAGTATTCACACATGCATTCTACACTTTTTGAGTTGCGCACTACAAGACAAAGGAAAGCCGTGGAGCTCAAGGAGTGCGAGCCCACTAAAAATGACGCGTTCCACTTGTTTGCTTAATAACGGTGAAGATTGATATACGTCTATCCACCCAGAGAAGGTCTCACGGGTCCCGTTACTTAGGAAGGCGATCGTAAGGCTAATTCCAAGGGCCGAAGTATCAGTCCCCGAACCACACCATGAAAGCGTGGACAATTTAGAAGTGGTCCTATTTGGCGCACCAGTGGACGCCGGCTGTGGCCCAAAGAACAAGTCAGAGCCGAGACCTGATAAACAAAACAAAATTATATTCTCAATTATGGCAGATCAAAACGATACACAAGTATGCACACTCGACAATAGTTGAATACAATATGTCACCAATCAAACAACGTACTACGCAGTACAATCAGCCACACTCGAAACAATGGACACAGACAAAAATACGCACTACAATGGAGTCGCATGCATTGAACAACCAAGACACCTAAAGACTAAAGAGTTAGAAAACTCATTCAGTCCAAAGTTCTTGGAACAAAAGTCTGAATGATATTATTCCGAGAATCACTCACTCAAAGTCCAGCGTTGTTGTCGTTCCGCTGCCCCGGAAGTTTCTCTTCCAGGAAACCTCGCGTCTTCAATTGGCCGCTCTCCAAGCACTCAACTTCTTCGCCGGCAACACGTTGGCTTCCCACACGCAGCTGTTGCCACGCGTCTTCGCTCGCTAGCGGTAGACACACACTCTTGCCTGCAGCTCGAGTCTTCACCCCTCAGGTGGAAATCCTCGTCTTCTCCTCCTCTGTCACGGAAAACAAAAGGCTTCGCCCACAAGGCGGAACACCCTACGCGCTCTGGCGCATACTTTCTTCTTCTCCTGCATTATCACTAAGGACAAAACCTTCACCGACGGACGCGGTGGAATAACCCCACGCAAATGGGCGCTAACTTCTTTCCTCTCCTGATCTCCCATCTCTGCTGCTCGATTAAAAACCTTCCGCGCGAGATTCCAGAAAGTTCTCTTCATTTCGTCGGCGCGATACGCAGCAAAGGCTGGGTAAAGCGCGAGACGATACGAGGGCCATCCGCGACAGATGACGCAACCCTGCACCACCACGCCCCTTTC